CCCGGGCCCAGGTGAGGAAGGGAGGATGGCACAAGTCTGACTCACCTCCGACTCCGCCTCGGAAGCATCCAGCTGGGCTTGGAGCTGGCCCAGGGCACTCTGTGGGCTCCACTTCTCCAGGTATGCATCTGTCGGGAGGGGATGGGGCTGCCAACAAACCTCCCCCCTGGACACCCCCACTGCTGGGGCTGCCACCTTTCCCATCCCCAAATATCAGTTCCACCCCGCCTTGAATTGAAACACCCCAAACACATCCCTGGAGACACCTGCACCCCGAGGCCTGTGTCCCAGGGGATCCCAGCCGAGGGCTGGCTGTGCTCCACACCGTGCTGGGCCTGTTGCTCGGGCTCTGCCTCATCCCACCCGCTGCACCCCACTCACCCGCTGCACCCCACTCACCCAGGCGCTGCTGCTTGTCCCAGCACGCCTCGCGTATCTCCCGCAGCTCCTGGTACTTGATGGCCAGGGAAGCCTTCCCGTCCTCCAGGCGTGGGCGCAGGGACAGGTTCGTCCTGGCCAGGGTGCAGTTTGAAGCCAGACACATCTCCCGCTCCAGCTGCAGGCTCTGAAACTGAGGACAGGAATGGGGAGAAGGTATCATAGAATCATAGAGTTGTCTTGGTTGGAAGAGACCTTTAAGATCACCCAGTCCAACCGTTCCCCCAGCACTGCCAGGTCCCCACTAACCCACGTCCCTCAGCACCACATCTCCATGGCTTGGAAACCCCTCCAGGGATGGGGACTCCACCACTGCCCTGGGCAGCCCTTTTGGGGAAGACATTTTTCCTCATGTCCAACCTAAACCTCCCCTGGTGCAACTTGAGGCTGTTTCCTCTTGTCCTATTGCGTGTTCCTTGGGAGAACAAACCAATCCCCATCTCATTCCTCCTTTCAGGGAGTTGTAGTGTGAGCACTGGGAGAAATGGGCAGAACCAGTTAGAGATGGCAGCCTGCTGGGAGAGGGTCCATCATCATCCAGGGGGGGACCTTCTCCTCCTGCCCTGTCCCCATCCCTCTGCTCTGCCTGGAAAGGTGCAATGGCTGGAGCTGGGCTATGCACAGCACAGGGTGGCTTACCCTAAATGTGGCCAACCTCACAGCTGGCTCCCCAGCCCCCTTTGCAGAGGAGAGGCCTCCTGGAGCTACCCAGGCTGTCAGGACACACACACACCCCTTCTCCTGCTGCACACAAAATTTTCCACCCAGGCAGAGCGGGGAGCAGAGCGTGCTGCCAGGCTGGAGAGGCCCAGGGGACAACAAGGTGCTGAAACTGGGCTGAGAATGATTTTGGAATAACCTGACCCTGTTCCCGCAGGGGAGCACCTGGACCCAGGGAGGGGGGAACCCAGCCGGGCACGGAGGGCACGGCGAGGGCCA